AAAAAAAAAAAATTCAAAAATTTTTTTTTTCCCGCCGGATTCCGGCGTTGACTTTTCATTTTAATTATTTTTTTTTATTTATTATTTTTTTTTTCTTCCGGATTTTTTCGCCGGTCTCCGCCGTTGACTTTTTCGATTTTTTTTTTCTTCCGGATTTTTTTCGCCGGTTTCCGGCGTTGACTTTTCAAAAAAAAAAAGAAAAAAAAAGTCAACGCCGAAAACTGGCGAAAAAATCCGAAAGAAAAACAAAAAAAAAATTGAAAAGTCAACGCCGGAATCCGGCGGTAAAAAAAAAATTTGAAAAAAAAAGTTTTGGGTCTAAATTGAATAATTTGTGAAATTTGGGGTCAAATTGAGATCAAATTAAGTTAAGGATGAAATTGGAGCATATTAAAGTATGCTAAAAAAAGTCAAAATTGAATTTTTGTGGTCAAAATTGGATTTTTGTGGACAAAATTGATTAAACTGGGGTTACAATTAAGAATTATGTGTCAAGGGTTGAGGGTAATATTGGCATATACATGAATGCTTCCTTTATTTATAATAAATATTAAAAGGATGGGCTTATTGGTGAAAGAGATATAGCCCCTAAACCTAGAATAATAAAGATGTTTGGTTGGGGACTTATGCACAAAAACCCCTATTTTTTAATCCAAAGGTGTGCGCATGGCCGGTTCTGAGGGGAGGCGAAGTAGGCGGTCGTCTAGGGCCCCCAATTTTTTACGAAAATTTGAGGCCCCCAAATTATTTTATTTACACTTTATATACTAGTACTTATTTTTTTAAAAATATTATATATAATATTTTGGAATATCGGTTCTAAAATAAATTTAAGTTAAATGATCAATAGATATTTTTGCAATTTTCTTAACTTCGGGGCTCCTAAATATTAAATTTATAATGTCTTAATTACTTATTTTTATTCTAAAATAAGAATCAATATTCATTAGTGTATTCAAGTTTATAAATATTTATGAAGTCTATTTGCTATAAAGATTATACGTCGGAGTAAGTGAACCAACAAATCATATTGTTAATTTTTTTATTTTTTTCCACATTTTTAGCTACTTTATATTCATATATATTCATACATTTCAAAAATTATTTCAGGGGCACCACCCCCGAACCTCCATAATCTTTTATTTCATCATTTTTAGAAATATTATTTATATTTTTTTAATACATTCAATTTCGAACACCCATTAATAAAAAAAAATATGGTTTATCAAATAGGGGCCCCTATTTTCAGTTGTTCTTTAAAACCTCGCCTAGGACCCCGGAATTCTCAGGAATGGGTCTGGGTGTGCAAGTGCACATCCTAAAACCATAATAGATTCGTTGTGTACCAAGTGGAACAATTCCAGTCGGTGGAACTGGAAGCCTGTCCTGTCTGTTAAGCTCTCCAAGACAACCTAGGACCCAACACCCAACCAACTGTACCATCACCTCCTGCCACGTGTCATACAAATTCGTGAGGCTTCACAGCTACAAGATCGAAAACCTGGCAATTTAAAAGGAAAAGAGGACGATAATTTACAACACCTGTTTTCTTATAAAAAAATAATGCATTTATATTTGTTGATCCGAGTACGAAGGCAAACAATCCGACTTGTTGCCAATTACTATAACAATGTTAACAATATAAGATCTTCATATAATTAAAACCCGCAAAAGAAAAATCATTAGTCCGGGAAATTGAAATTTAATTTCAGAGTTCGAACTTGGTTCTTCGTTAATCGGGAGATAAAAAGAGACTGGCATTTGTTTATCGTTTTACAATAGTTAAAAATACAAATAATTAGTGCTTGGGGAAAGTTTTCAAATAAATTAAGAGGAATTAAACTAAAACAATTCACATTTTAACATCACACGGTCTTTTTATGTGATGTTAGCCATAATCTTTTTTGGCGGCACATGACTTTTTGACAGATCTTTAATAATCTCCAACTCCTTTTGAAATAATGGACTCAACCCATGCGCAGACGTATATGTCGGAAAATGATTATGCTTCCCATATAATATTCTGAGCTCCCATCTGTCATCCAACTGTTTCACTCCCACAACCTGAAAACCACAATGGATTTTATTGCTACCAGTCCATCTTCTCGGGCGTGCAGT